TTTACCACTTGATTAACTGATCATCAGCTGCTTAATAAAAACATATATTTGGGAAGTTTGCTGGTCTGGAGCACTCAGATGCATGTTAACACAAAGCTATAATCCTCCCAGCAGTGGACCTCCCAGCAAAATCACCCCAATGTCAAACCATGCAACACTCTGGAAAACAGCAAAAAACCCAAAAGCTACTTCTCTACAGGCCCCATTTAACATGTGAAATGATAATGTTCATTTCAGTACAATTAGAAAAAGACTGAACAAGTATGGCTTGTTTAGAAGGACTGCCAGGAGAAGGGGTTTTCTCCTGGCAGTCCTTCCATGGCAGAAGGTTTGCAAAGTTACATCTCAACAAATCAACAGACTTCTGGAACAATGTGTTTTGGACAGATGAGATCCAAGTGGAGTTGTACACAGTGCCATGTTTGGCCAAAAGCAATCAGCCTATCAGGCCAACCACCTAACAGGGGTGACCACAGGCTTTGGGCTTGTTTTGGAACCACATGATCTGGGCACCTTGCAGGTGGTAACTATGAACTCCTCTGTATTGCAATGTATTCTATAGGCAAATGTTAAGCCTTTTGTTTAATAGCTAAACTCGGGTGAAATTGAGTCATGCAACAGAACAGTGACAGCAGCAAATCTACACAAATTGGCAGAAAAAAGGCCCAGTCAAAGTCGTCAACCTGACTATAATGCTGTGGCAGGACCAAAACTGAGCTGCAAATGGACTGAAGCAACATTGTAAAGATGAATGGGCCAACATTCATACACAATGATGTGAAAGACTAATTAAGTAACACAAAAAAACATTCATTCAAGATACATCTGATAACGGTGACTCTTCCCAGGACTTCATAGAGTACTGTGAAACTTTTCCACGTGGCTTTGGGGGTGTTTCGACTCGGAGTCCACTCCAAGAGAAACAAGATCAGACACATTTCAGACACACCTGATTTTTGACCACTGAGACTGAAAATTGAGTTTTCTCTGGGTGCAGGTTTCATATTTACTTGCAGTTTATTGTCTTACCTTTGCTAGCTTTGGGTATTGAAAACTACTTGGTTAGGTTTAGGAAAGCTCTGCTCATCAAAAACTAACGACATCATGGGATTTTGCCTGGACTTATTCTGGACTGGACTGGATAAGATAAGCACTTATGATCATTAAACTTTTAAATCTAGCTATAGGTCATAACTACATCTCACACAAGCGAAAGAGAGTCTCAGCACATGTGTGCACAGACGTTGCATGCTGCAAAGATAATAAGCATGAAAAGAGCCAGAATGTATGTCCACAGAAACATTCATTTGTACTTTCTATTTTTTCTTTGTACCCCCCCACTCCACACATGCACACGCGCGCACACACACACTTTCTCTCACATGCACTCACATGCGCATATTTAGAGTGTAGCACAGTAATAAAGCCCACCCTTGCAGTGAAATTAAAGCTAGTCAATGACACTGCCTGCTGAGTACACACTAAATCATTTTTATACTCAGATGAAACAACCAACATAATACTAGCTCGGCACGTGTATCTAATATCACCTGGAGACTCAGAAAAAAATAAATAAAACAAACAAAAAACAAAAACAACTAATCAAATGCCATATTGGATGTGTCAGATTCATGTCAGTACAAGAGATTAATACTAAATATAGGAAATATGGTACAATGGGAGTATGAGATCTTTTTATATTCAAAATGACCAGGCAGAGAGCACATTATGAGATATTGGATTGATAAACAGGCTGTGATGCTGTTGTTCAGTGAGTATAATAGAACTATGACGCTACTCCTGGGTAACCAAAGATTGCAATATGATTTTAATGTGTTTTATAGACACAAGCCCTTCAGTGAGAGGAAATTATGTCAATAAATAAGCAGACTCACATTTTAAAACAAAGGGAATCATAGTCAGTGAAATATGTGCACATATATTATGGTGTTTGGTTATCAAATATGATACACAATACGGTCATGCGTCAACACACACACACATATTCTGACAGTAGTACTTGGTGAGCTCTCAACCCTGAGGTTCTGTGAGTGTTAGTGACACATGCTTGTTTTTTATGGTCTTTGCCATATGTTTGCTATTTCTATAGCTTCAATTCGAACTTATATATAGACTGCTCAGAAAACATGCAAGGAACACTTTTTAATCAGAGTCAGTAAAACTTCTGGGATATTGATCTGGTCAGTTAAGTAGCAGAGGGGGTTGTTAACCAGTTTGGTGTAAATACAATTAACAACATGTGCAGTTAGAGGAAGTTAGTCTAGGAAATGAGACAACCCTTAAACCACAAATAGTTTTTAAAGGTCCAAGTCATTGACATTTTTTCCCTGCATCTTTTCTGACTGTTTTTTCACTACTTTTGCCTAACGTCAGTGTCACTACTGGTAACATGAGTTTGTGCCTGGACCCTACAGAGCTTGCACAGGTAGTCCAATTCCTCCAGGATGGCACGTCAATATGTGTCATAGCCACAAGGCTTGTTGTGTCTTCCAAAACGCATGTAGGAGATTCCAGGACACAGGCAGTTACTTTAGGAGCTGTAAAGCTTTAGAAGGTGCTTAGCCCATCAGCAGGACCGGTATCTGCTCCTTTTGTACAATGAGGAACAGGATGAGCACTGACAGAGCAACAAAGAACCTCCAGCAGCCCACTGGTGTAAATGTCTCTGACCAAACAATCAGAAACAGACCTCATGAGGGTGGCCTGGGGGTCCAATGTCCTTTAGTAGGTCCTGTGCTCACTGCCTGGCACCGTGGAACACGATTGGCATTTGCCATAGAATACCAGAATTGGCAAGTCCACCACTGGCACCCTCTAATTTTCACAGATCGAAGCACTGAATACATGTGATAGACGTGAAAGGCTCTGGAGAAGTCGTGGAGAACGTTATGCTGCCTGTTCATCGTTCAGTATGAGCGGTTTGGTGGTGAGGAATGGATGAACGCACAGATATCTACAGGTTAGACAACAGCACACTGTCTGCCATTGGGTATCGGGATGAAATCCTTAGACTCACTGTCAGACATGCTGGTGCAGTGGGTTCTGGGTTCCTCCTAGTTCACGATGCCCAGCATTATGTGGCAAGAATATGCAGGCAGTTCCTGGAGGATGAAGGAACTGATACCCTCACCTGAGTTAAATGCAGCACCTCTGGGATATTATGTTTTGGTCCATCCAACGCTGTCAGGTTGTACCTCCGACTGCCAAGGAGCTCAGTGATGCCCTGGTCCAGATCTGGGAGAAGATCCCTCAGGACAGCATCCGTCCTTTCAATAGGAGCATGGTCCAGTTTTGTCAGACATGAATACAAGCTCCAATTACTGAGTACCATTTTGAGTTGCTCCCAAGAAATTTCAACAAAATCGACTCACTCACTGCATCATTTTTTCACTTTGATTTTCCAGATGTTTTTGAATTCAGCCCTCTGTATGTTGATCATTTTTATTTCCATCAAACAATTGATTCTTTCATTCATAACACATTACCCAGTCCATATCAGTATAGATAACCAGCATGATTTTTCCCATTGAGATCTGATGTGTTTTCCAAGTGTTCCTTTAATTTTTTGAGCAGTGCGTATTAAACGTGTTATAGAATGAAAATGCAAAAGTAAAAAGTACATAAAAATTTCAACAGTTAATTTTTTTGATCAAACAAACTTACAATGGTTTTCTAAACATTTACATATTTCTTTTCACTCTGACCGGATTTTGCCCAGAAATAAACATGACAGTGTGTGTCAGTCTTCTCATGTCAATCATCTGTCTCACATAAATCACTAGAAGCCACATCCCTTAGTGAGATTTCCCATCTGCTAATGTCTGTCACTTCAGGTTGCAGTCAATAGACCTGTTTGGTACACCCGTCCCTTGGTGGGGTCTAATTGCCCATTGCAACCCTCAAATGTGTTCTACACTCCGCAACTCTTGAGAACCTCCACCAGCACCACCCCCTCCACTACGAAATCCCCATTCCATTCTCAAGATGGGTATTTACATGCCCCACACCGTGGAGAGCAAACAAGCTCATTTAAAAGTTCACATGCTAATGTGTGACATTTAATCCAAACTTTACACGGGGAAAAGGACACGCTACAATAGATTTTGATTCCTTTCTTGTCCCTGAATCTCATCATCTTTTGCCTTCCATATTTATGAGTTGAAAAGGCGGGACACCTTGGTGGAGAGTAGGGGAAGGGATAGGGAGTTGACTGTTTGAAAAGTGGGCTGGGTTAGTGGTGATAATCCAGAGTTCTTTGTTGATAGTGCTCATATGCACAATTTATTGACTGCTCATCCAACTTAAAGCCACAGTTTATAAATCCACCAAATAGCTCCTAAGTTTCCTGCTTCATGTGTATGTGATATTTAATAACTGCAATATTACTAATTAAATCTATTTAATTAATGATTTAATTAATTTTTCATCAGCGTTAGGTGTCTGCAGGTTTCTAATTTTTAGCGAGCAACTCCTTGGTTTAACTAATCGCAGTGACAACTGTTTGTAATATCGGCTTATCGAGTTAATTCCATAAATTGGCCAAGTCACAAAGTGAAACTGTTAGAAGTTGTCTGGTAAATGTACTCTGAGAGGAAGCGTCTGCACACTCAGCCAAAAACAATTTTCAAGAGATACACCACTCTGTGCTGTTTTGATATTTCAAAGGGGTGGAAAGAGTGGAAAGTGGAAAAACCAAATGGTTAGCCAAAGGGGCTGCGACTAAGAGGGGTAGTAGTTTCCGCGTATGTGTGTGTGAGCTACATTCTTGGTTCCACCAGCTGGCTGGCTGACACACATCCACATGCACTCGATATTACTGTACATTCCCATGAAGATTTATGACTAATCTAGATTTTATTTGTAGATGCTGAGTATTTAAATCTTAAATCCCGAGTTAGTTCCTCTGTGTGTGTGTGTGTGTGTATGTGTTGTGTGCACGTGCATGCATGTGTGTGTCTGTTTATGATTTATCTTTGTACCTCACACAAAAGTGTCTCCTCCTTCTGGTGAAGCTCTGATAACTCCCTCCTCTGACGTTCCACCTGCTTCCTGCTGGCCTCCAACTACAGAGGGAAAGAAAGTGTGCAAAGGGAAAGTAGAACGATTCAAATAATAATTAATAACAAATATTTGAAATTCCATACGCAGACTTTTGAGGCTTAAACTATTTCCAAACCATACATGGATAAGGGTTTGGTGTCTTGCATGATTTTAACACATGGTTCCGGTTCTGAAAAGAACATATTTTTGGCACATTAATGTGGATCGAGAAGCAGTGGAAGCTAAAGGCACAGAAGTGGGTCAAGTGAGCAGAAAGACCTAAAGACACAAATGGATCTAAAATGTGAATTTTCTGAGGCAGACAAAAAGATTTGTGATGTCCAAATAGTCCGCTCGTTTTTGTGTGAGTGCATGCGGATGTCTCTTTCTCTCTCTTTCTCCCACACACGCACTCACACACACATACTCGGATCGACCCGGACAGGCCAGGGATGAGCACACCCCATCTGATCTGTGGCCCGTTCATTCATTAGACCCATGCTCTCCCCTATTGATTTCAGCTTAAGTAATGAGAAAGCTTATCCAAAAATCTTTAGCATTTGGGCTCCAACTTAAGGGAATCAATGGGGCCATTTCCCATTTTGAACAGCACATACGCAGGGGTTTTATGTATGGTGAACGGGACAAATCCTGATGCTGATAAATCAATAAGCCTTTTTGTCAATGGACGGGCATGCTTGCACTCACACATACATGCATATGCGGACACACTTGGCTGATAAATGGTATTTTTGAGGCAATTAAAGTGAGCTGTAAACATATGAAGGCCAATCAATTGGTCAGTGAGGTCTATTATCAAGGCTTTAACACTGATTTAGAAAGGGCTTTAAGTGTGGCACAGTCACTTGTGCAGATCAGCACCTGCATAGATCAGTGTTGCTCTGTGCTAAGCTGCTCATACAACAAGAAAGTATGTGGCTCACCTCTAAAGACTGAAGTAAAGAAAAAGAGGAGACTTAGCATTGCTGTATGACATGCAAAATACTTTTTTTTTTGCTGCTTATGAAGTATTTTAAAGAAATGCCACAGTCAAGTAACACCCTAATTGTAACCCTCACTTTGCACTTTCCCTCTCTTTAAAAATTGGATCTTGCATCGTATTGAAATAAGATAAGTGGAGAGGAGTAGCTGTTTGCTTAACAATTCTATTTTAGCAGGGACAGAGAAGCTTGTTAGGAAGAAAACTAACACATCAGCGCTGCCCCTCAACAACCCATCCCCCAATGCTTCTACTGCGGTAAAGGTGAGACACACGCGTTAGCAAAGTTAACCTACAGACAACATTTCTCTGAGGTAATTGGTTCTGCATTAATATTCATTTGACTTTGCATTTAGTGACTATGGCTTCACTGGTTTGATGCACTGTGCCTATGTCCCCTGGTACATCACACAACATTAACCCTATAGCTCTGATTATGATTTCAGCCATATATGCATATTTATCCTTGCTACCTGAAATGCAAGCGATTCGATGCTCGACCAAAACCCCTCTTTTCTTCCAGCGTGCACTGGACCTGTCTCTTAATTTATAATTTGAAGTGTATAACATGTCCAGTTCTTTTATCCCTCCCACTTTTTCACTGTGGTTGATCGGGTGCGTGTGCATGCGTTTTGCTGAGGCATGACATTTCAATTGTGCATCCAATCAAATTGGAAAAGAGGCGGTAAGGAAGGTTGGGGAATGATAAGGGGTGCGGGGGTGTACTGAGGGTTGCAGACCAACCGTTACCATGGTGAATCATTTCTGTCAAAATCACCAAGGTCACAACTGCTGACCTGCAGCGTTATGGGACTTTGGAATAGCATACTGTAAATGGACACAAGGATTTCTCTCTTTCTTTCCTTCTTTACACATTTTGTCCTTACTTTGCATTTTTTTTCTCTCTCATTATCTTTGTGTACATTTCTCCTTTTCTTTTTCTTTTTTTGCTACTTGAAAAAAAACAAAAAGGCTTCTTGTTTTGCCTTTCTTTATTACTTTCATATTTAAGATTGACTAATTGTACCATTATGAGACTTTTGGTGTTACTGAATCCATTATGCATGGCCTGTGCTGGCAGTGGGTCTGAACACAGCCTGTTTTCAGTCATTATAATTCAGTTTGCTAACATACAGGCATTGTGCTAGTGTGGGGTTAGGGGAGATGGTATGATAAAATATTGAGGGCGAGCAAGGCAGCTGCAGATGCTAGCTGTCATGTGTGAGCGAATGAATGTTATGACAAGCATGTTTAAACATTCATGCGGGGAGGATAGTTTAGGAGGGCTTTTCATTAACACCAATATGTCTTCGTCTCCCCGGTGCAGACACTGCTGGTGGAAGCATGACAACAACAGGGAGGAGAGGAATTAACATCTCGAGAGGAAACTGCCACATATACAGAGAGAAGTAGAAACAATCAGTCCTGTGCGAGAGCACACACAGGCATACACATTTAACACTGGCTGACTCAACCAACTCTAACAGACAACTTTCTCTTATTTACCAGGACAGCTGTGTAACTGTAACATCGTGTTCAGGGCTGATCAAGTACGTGGAAAACTTCAGTAGTCAACAACAGAAATAATTTTGTTCAAATTAAGACTGAGAACGAGGGAGGTTTCTGTGCCAAATGTGCACCGCCACCCATGCTGTTAGGTTGTCAGGAGATTTGACCAGGCAGAAACAGTGCAAGTTCTTGATGCTTTCTGGAGACTGGAGAGAAGTAAAGCTATTTGTGGTAATTTCTTGGGAGCGAAGCAACATCTAATCTGTTTACATAACCTTGATGAAGTGAGATCAAGGAACAATTACAGGTGATAAATAGGGATTTAAGCTAATGCTGCTCTGGTGTATAGGGTCAACAATGTGTCCGTGCAGAAATTAATCATCTTTTTTTTTTTTCTTATTATCAAGCTATTTGAAGTATCTCTGCAGCTAGTGATTAAAAAAAGGCCCAGATATAACAATGCCGTAAAACAGTTCAACAACACTCTCTTGTTACTGAGGCATGGTATTGTGAAAAGACGAGACACGTTGTAGCAAACTCAAACTCCATTTAATGGAGTGCAAAATCAATACTTATGCTGATGATCTCATGACGTCAAATCAAGGCGAAGGAGGGGAAAAAGGAGCATCATGCATTCTCAACATAAGTGGCTTTGACTTGCAAAATGTGTTTGCATAACATGAGCTTTAGTTAATGTCATAAATGGCTCTAAATGCTGCAAGGTGCATTAAAAATATGCACAGTCATCCGTTTTACCTACACCTTGATGCAAACATTTTGAATTAATCTAGTTTTCACTGGTCAAGCAATTCCATTTTGATATTCAAATTTGGTGCGCATGTGTGCCTGTGCACGTCTGTGCATGACTGATCTAATCAGTCTTAAATCAGTTAATAAGCCAAGGACACAGAGGAGATGACTCAGCTGATGTGAGCTCGAGCTAATATTAGCATCTCGCCCCCCGTTCTAGACCTGCAATGCACGGAGTAGCTTCTACTGTTTGGGCTTCCCATTACAAAAGTGCACGTTTTGGACATTAAGACCAGCAGTTAAGCGCACCGCAGTGAATTCCATTAGCACATTAGCAAAGGTGCCACGACCTAATGCTAAGGTTGGGTGCCGCATTTAAGACCTTACAGTATTTGTTCTCTAAAGCAGCTTAAGTCAAATGTGAGGGTAGCCCTGAAACTGTTCTTAAAACTAAAAGCAAGGCTAATCCAAAAGACAGGCCTGTATATGTGAAAATGTCATTGTTGCCACTCTTCTAAGGGCCCTAAACAAAGTATAAATCTAATGCAAAATTATTCGGAAGCTGTTGTTCTAATTAAACGTCTCCCAATGTCAGATGCGGAGGCCAAACTGGAAGACAGGATGAGTACTGTTCTGTCAAAACTAATAGTCATTTCCAAACCACACATGATCAACTACATGGCTAAATGTTCAAAAACAGGCACATGCCACAGAGGCAAACAGATACATATACATGAATGCTGCCTATTAATTAAAAGCCAGAGCATGAAGTTGACTTGGGGTAGGCGGTTTGTGACACCACAAATCTAGGAGACTTCCTGTAAGACATAAATCTGTTGTGCTCTCACTCTCTCTATGGCACAGGCACAACAAAGACAGTCTTGTCCGGGTCCCCCCCACCCCCACCCCCATCCATTCATTAGAAGCACAAGCAGCTGCGGCCAGGTTCAGAGACAATCTACATTCTCTCTCTTTCAGTCACTCATTAATTCCCTCTGTCTTTTTCTCTCCGGTTCGCTCTTATTTTTAGCCCTTTTCTCCCTCTCCCTCCATTTCTTGCTGTCCTTCTCCAAGTCCCCCCTCTCGTCTCTCTAAACATTGTCTCTTCCACATGGCCCGGATAATGAGTGGTGGAGCTAAACGAGAGGAAACACGGCTCACTATTAGGAGGGGAACGCTGACTGAAGGTTTTAAATAAACGGAGAGAACTTGAGGCCAAATTGTATTTCCAAGGACATAAACTAATGGAACAGCCAGACATTCTCTGAACAAATACACACTCTGTTTAAACAACCATAATAGTTGTAAAAATATACATGTCAATGTAGATCTAACTGAGAGACAGGCTGGCAGAAGGCAAAGAGAAATACATATAAATGCAGATATCCCCCATATATGAAAGCCCAAAAACAAACACTGTTCAATCCTTCTTTTCTTTAGTTTGGAAAGCTTAATATCCTGCATTTAACTGCAGAACAATAAGGACATGAAAAAAGCATAAACGCTCGTCTCTGAAAAGTAATTAGGCAAACGTGTTTTCTTAAGTGTCTCTGATATGCTCTCAGGCACATAAATCCACACCCACACATAAACACACACAGAGAGGAGCCCACCCTGCCTCGCTGTGGGGTTAATTGGGTTATCTAGTCTGATTAGCATAACTAATTAGGATCCTTGTTAACGGAGGAGTGCTATTTATTCAATTAGCGCTCTGTGTGTATGGATCCCCTTCATCGCTGGTATAAGTTCAAATGAAAACGAGGCAAAGCTAAGTAGGCATGAAGGGAGACCTGTGGGCGCCTGTGCGCGTGTTGATTTCATCATTTATCTGTTCAACACACAGATGCTCACCATCAGGTGCCAGGCACTTCAGCCCCACCAGCCCCCCCACCCCTCACTACCACCCCCACCAACACACACAAACACTCCAAGCTTGCTATGCTGTGGCTCTTAAACCCCCTCATCATCATCATTAGGTTTCTGATTAGCATAATTAGCACTGTTAACCAGATGAGCTTGAGTGGAGCCAGGCTGTGCCAGTCGGGGCAGCTGACAAATGTCAAGCTCCTCGCACTTTTCCAGGTTGCGGAGGGGGCTACTTGTTCCTCATCAGGTGGGTTTATGGCACATTTCCATACCCTTAGTGATTGCTAACTGATAACAAATGGTCTTTCCAGCACATTTTGATGCAATGTGCACACACACACACACACACACATTAAAAAAAAAGTCAGAGGGGGATGATTTCTCTCTCAAGGCAAGCAGCCCTGTAAAAGTGACACAGCTCTTGAAGTTATATCAGTTAATAGAACAATGCTGAGCTCATACCACCAATTTATTCATTCGTGTTTGCAAATGCAGATGCTGTCTTTTGTTTGTGATGCTCGACATGCGCTTAAAGCCGACAGTAAACACAGAAGAAGCAAATCAACAGCACTCCTCCGGTCGTCAGCAAGTGAAAACTCACAAACACAATCCAGCACTCACAAATAACCAGAGAGAGGGAAATGAAACAGAGAGAAAGAGAGAAGGAGCGCTACATTTACTGAAATTAAACATTTTCTCATCAGCCTGAGGGTGCAGCAGGCCCACTAATGTATTATTCATCCCCACTTCACAAAGGAACATTAATCAATTATGAAGATATGAGGATCTTAAAGTATAGAGGAGAGACGAAGAGCGGCTTGTTCGTATTAATATGCGGCCGCAATCGTGCGCCTCCACCCCCCCACCCCCTTGGTCCTCAAATCAATATTTTGCAGATTAATTTGGAGCGGTTGTGGCGAGATGGCAGGATGGAAGGGGG